AGCAAGACTCTGTCTCAAAAAAATACAAAAAGGGAATACTTAAGAAGATTAACTGTGTTAGCTCCACGCACAAAGCCATAGACAAATTCCTTTGTCAGACGGGGACCCATTAGGAGATGCCCACCCCCCTCTGTAGCCTTTGTAAAATTAAGCTGATAAAAGGCATCCCTGTTTTTTAGGTTTAAAATCAATGGATAACCAGGAAAGAATATGAGAAATCATATTAACTCTTCTCCTATTTACACTATACTAAAATCATTTAGCTCTCTTTTTTTTCTTTTTTGGACCTTCTGCTGCAAAGGAGCCGTTCTAACGAACTTGGACCCCAGGGTCCATGCGTGTGGTTATTCATTAAATCCTATTGCCTGCAGATTCTCCTGACTTAAGACTTTGGCTGGGCTTGAACTCAGTAACCTGCCCTGATGTATTTCCTGGGCGTTTCTGGTCAGGCAGCTGAGCTCTGCCTTAGCTGTCATGCTGATATCCCTCTGGTTTTGGCAGGAGATTTCACTTGAAATTTAGCTTTCCATATTGCAACATAAATAAAAAGGTAGTTTGTTTCCCGATTCTGCTTGTCGTGGACGCGGAGGTGTGTCTGACCTTTGGAACACTGGTAGGATCCCGTTATCACCACAGGTCGGTCACTCAGCTTCCTAAAGAAAAAGTCAAGTCAGAAACAAATCAGGAGCAATTATTGATTCAACAGTTTTGCAAATGCTTTTGTACACAGAAGGTGCATGGAAAAGGTTCCGGTGATACACAGGTCAAGTACCACGTCGATAATCACAGCTCATGTCAAGTGCTTGCTGCATGCCAGGGAGCTGTAGCGTGGTGTGCATGTTGATCATTTAAGGCTCACATCCGAGCTGTGGGGTAAGCCCTGCTCCCGTCCTCCTTAGAGATGAGGAAACTGAGAGGCAGAGAGATGAAGCAGCTCAGTTAGGTCACGGGATTGGGGCAGACCTGGACGTGACTCCGAGGCCCCCTCTAGCAACCAGGCCCTCACCCATCACACTTGATTGACGGTTTGGGAGCCTTGCCTCTCACCACCAGTTTTGGGAAGAGTAGATTTCCCATTTCCACCATTGTTTCCTGACCCCCGTGCCTCCCAACTTCTCACCTGCTATGGCTGGCATTTCCACCAGCCTCCTGGCTTGTCCTACGCCTCATGCCTCCCATGTGGCTCTTCCTCCTGCTCCCCCCCGCCCCCACCCCTCCGTGGCCCCAGGATGGAGGCTTCCTGGGATGGCCCACACAGCGTCCTGCACAGGTGCTGTCATTCCCTGCACACATTCTCTCTTCCAGCCACAGTGAGCTGAAAGCTATTCCTTTAGCTATTCCTGCTGCAGGCCCCCTCCAGAGAGGGCCTTTCATGACCTGTTCTGGTAACCTCCCTGCCTGGTCAGCCACCCCCATCCCTGGCCCCTTGCTGTTGCGGAGCTCACCTCACCCTGTCATTCAGTTCTCCATGTGGAGAGCGCTGATCCGGGGCCGTCTGTCTCCATCTGCTGTGCAGCAGTAACAGAACAGCACAGGCTGGGGAATCGATGCAGCACGGGAATTTATGTCCTCATACTTCTAGAGGTTGGGAAGTGCAAGATCAAGGCGCCAGCAGGTTCAGGTGTCTGGGAGAGCTGCATCTTCTGGAAGGGAGAAGAAAACGGGAGGGCAAGCAAGAGAACCCCCCCCTCCGAGGCAAGCTCGTGTATGCAGGTACCTGATCCCATCGCCAGGGAGGAGCCCTCCTGGCTCCGTCACCTCCTAAACCCCTGCTTCCTTAAGACTCACTTGGCAACCCCTGAACTTTGGAGGGGACACGTTCGAGCCACAGCCCCTTCCTTCCCAAGGCTTCTCAAGGTGTCCCCTCCTGTGCTTTCTGGAGCACCCACCCTTCCTCGTGCTGGGACTTGGCACGCCTGACCGTAGTCACACCTGCCCATCTTCCCGGCCCCTCTTCAGGTGATGGGCTCTACACAGGTCATGATCCTGGCTGACACAGTCACGTGTTGTCCCTGCACCCATCAGTGTGTAGTAAACAGGAAGTGCTTAATAAATGTTTGATGAATTAAGAGTGACTCAGTAACCCAAGTTCACAAAAGCAACGGCAGACCTTGGAGATGTGCCTGAGGCACATGCTGGGCTTGGGACCAGAGGCAGCCACTGCTGCTCAGCAGGGTGCTCCCTGCGGACTGCCATGCTGAGCACTGTGAATGTCCTGGCTGCCCCATTGTGCTCCAGCTCTTTAGACCCCGCTGCTCAGCCTCTCCGCTTCAGTTGCCACACGCTTCCAGGAAAGGCTGTCTTTACTTTCTCCTGCCGTTCTGGAGCCACAGAGGGAGCAGGTGAACAGTTACCTGGAGAGAGACCCCTCCTGGGTTTGAGAAGCAGCCCAGTTCATGCTCCCAGGGCATGAACTTGTATATGGGGAGCCATAGCCTCGGCAGGGGCGCCCTGAGCCGCCAGCACCTTGCAGGGCCAGCCACAGACGTAATGGAAAACCTCACCCTTCAGTCGCTGCTTTTCCTACCTCCAAGCCAGAAAAATGTCCTTCCTCTCACAGTGCGTGGGGACTGTGGTCTTCAGAGTGGCCCTCCACGGTCACGCTGGTTCGCAGTGGCTTCTGTCACCACCCTGCCACTCAGTGACTTGTGGGCCACGCTCAGGAGTCATGGGAAGGAGAGCCTTAGAGCAGCCCCCTGGACAGGCCTTCTCGCGGGAGTACTTCCTGACGAAGGCGGGAAAAAGCCCTGCTAGCTCAGACTCCCAGTAGGTCAGAGGTGCCGTTTTCCTGTCTTTGGTCCACATAGGTTGCATTTTTTAACTCTGGCAAAGTGAAATGACAGAGTCAGTCCAGCGCCACCTGGGACAGATCTGAGAAATTAGCGTGAAGATGCCATCACACCCACATCGTATTCCAGTCCACGTTTCCATGTCAGGGTATACATGTTACAACCGTGATTGATCCTTGTACGTAAGTTGGGATGCAGGTTTTTGTCGGCAAAGAAAATGCACAAAAGTTTTTCCATTGGACCAGTGCAGCGGCTCACACCTGTAATCCCAGCACTTTGGGAGGCCGAGCTGGGCGGATCACTTGAGCCCAGGAGTTGGAGACCAGCCTGGCCAATACAGTGAGAACCTGTATCTTTAAAAGAAAACCTAGCTGGGCATAGTGACTCACGTCTGTAGTCCAAGCTGCTCAGGAGGCTGAGGCTGTGGGAGCCGAGCGGGGGGAGGCTGTGGTGAGTCATTGTTGTACCACTGCACTCCAGCCTGGGCAGCGGGGCAAGACCCTACCTCTAAAGGGGAAAAAACACCGTGAAGAGTTTCTTGGGGCCAGTTGGCATCTAAAAATAATCTAAGAGTTTAGATTCTCAGCTGTGCTTTGGCTCCACTTTAAGATGTCTTTAGGTATTTCCAGGACTCTCGCCAAATTCTCAGAACAGTTGACTTAAAAAGATAAGCATGTAGTGTTTTTATAAGGGGAGAGGGAGAGGAGGTGGTAAGATGGTGCCGGACTTACGGTGTGAGTCAGCATTACTGATGAAGCGGTCGCTGGGTTTCTGATTAATTAATTTTAAAGCACTGACTAAGTGCATACCCTGTGTACAAAGCCACAGTCGATCAGCGTTTTAGACGTGTCGCCTCTCACTGGCGACATGCCTCACCCTCCACAACCTGAAGCTGGAGCTTACACCCTTCAAGAAGGGACCCTGCGACCAGGCGCGGTGGCTCATACCTGTAAGCCCAGGACTTTGGGAGACAGAGGTGGTCAGATCACTTGAGGTTGGGTGTTCTAGACCAGCCTGGCCAACATGGAGAAACCCTGTCTCTACTAAAAATACAAAAATTAGCCGGGCATGGTGGTAGGCACCTGTAATCCCAGCTACTTGGGAGGCTGAGGCAGGAGAATTGCTTGAACCCAGGAGGTGGAAGCTGCAGTGAGCCGAGATTGCATCATTGCACTCTAGCCTGGGCAACAGAGTGAGACTCCATCTCAATAAAAAGAAGAAGAAGGAGGGACCCTGCTTTGCTCATGATTTTAGTCTCAGTGTGTGGCATACCCCGGACCTGAAATAAATGTTATTTAAATGTTAAATTACATTGTCCCTCCTTCCCGATACATTTGCCATCTGGTTACATTCTAGCGAGAACAAAGGATGGATTTCTTTAAATAAAGTTTGCTTCTTTTTCAAAAATTCCTTGGGCTCTTCCTGGAGAAGCTGCTCCTTTACCATCTTCCCAGCAGATTCCTGGGGCCGGAGCCACCCGCCTGGTCACAGCTCCTTCCCCGGGCAGCGTGGGTCCGGGTGGTAGCTCAGCCTCGCGGGAGGATTGTAAAGATAGAAGTCAAGTGTCCCTTTGACCAACTTTTTTCTTTTTTCCTCAATGGGAGATTTTGTGAGAGAATAAAATGCGTGTGGACCTCAGCTTAACAAAAGCTGGATGTTCCTGGGGTGAGTTTGGATCCAACAGGCAATAGATGCTCAGCAGATGCGAGTCAGGGGAGGTTAACTGCCTGTTGCTCCGAAGTAGGGTCTCGTTTTCCGGGTAGTTTTGCAACCTCTGACACAGGTAAGATGGTCAGTACCCAGGCTGCCGTGACGTGCAGACGGCTCGCGATGAAGGGACTCGCTGGACTGGTGGCAGTGTCTAGGGCCAACCAATCTGCTTTGCTGCCTTTGTGGAGAGGTCAGGGGACCCTTCTGTGGAGGAACTTCTTAATGCTTATTTTAACCCTGAAGGACAAACATGAAACAGGCAGCCATTACTCCCGAGAAAACCTAATGGGAGTAACTGCTGTGTCTCGGGGGCCCGTGGTCTCCCTGAGGGTGCACCTCTCCAGGAAGACGGTGGGAGTCCGTCCTAAATGATGATCTGTTCACATGTTCACTTTACTCTCAACTTTCCAGGAGTGAGTCCTCCCCAGAGAGCAAGACGGAGCTGCGTTTCGACTGACGGTGCTTTCAATCTGTGCTGACTGTAACTTTTATCCATCATAGGTTTGAAGACATACCTGATATCGGGTCAGAGAGCCAAGGAGTCTCCTTGCAGCTGTGCAGAGGCCTTGCTTTCTGGCTTTGAGGTCATTGGCGGCTCACAGGTGTCCTCAGGCCCTAGGGGACAGGGGACAGCGTCATCAGGGAATGTCAGTGACTTGGCGCAGACTGTCAAAACCTTTGATAACCTTAAGGTTAGTTTTTTTGTTTTTTCCTACTTCTAAAACTTTCTATTAATTCTGCAGTAGAGCACGTGAAATAATAAACAGCCTCCAGGTCTGGGGCGCACACCTTGGAATGCTCTGATTTCGTTTTCACGATTTTAAAATGTAGTCTAAAGCTAGTAGCATTTCGCATTTTGAATATCGCGGCTTTTTGACGTATTACACACCTCCATTTCCTTTCTGCTGCATGAGGATGCTTCTCACTTGAGTAATGAGCTATTTTCTCTTCCTGGGACTTGTGGTGTTTCTGAGGATTTCTGGAAGCTACTCGTAAATGACAGTGAAAGGTGGCTGTCCTTGGTACCTTGGGTGGAGAGCTAGTTGATAGTCTGATTTCAGAGACCACTTTCTCAAATACTTCTCCGGCTCTTGAAATCCACCGTTGAATGGTTACTTGAAATGATGTTGGTGTGGGTGAATCTCAGGACAAAGCTCGCTGAGAGTACAGGCTGCCGAGAATGTTGTAGTGTTTCATTATTGGAACCGAGATCCCTGGTAGCCACCTAGAAGTGCCCGTTTCTGGACTGACCTTCTGTCATCATAAACTACCAAGGAATTGACGCAGTCAACCTTGGGTATATGAAATCATTTCAGTGTATGAGCTGTTCCTCCGCCTTCACATCTGATTTAGTTCTCCCACTGGTTACTTCTGTTTATTTTTATAGTTTAGGTATCTACCATCTCCATTCTTAAAATGAGAGGGAGAATAAAAATAGTTCTGTGCTGCTTTGTGTCCTCAGATGACACAGTGGGGTGTCGGTGAGGATGGCGGCCAGTGGTGACGGCTTCACCCAATACATCTCTGCCTCTCCTCATTCATTCACAGGCTTCTGTTGGCATTTAAGATACCAAGCTGCTAGGGCATTTACAATGAACCGTCTTCATGATGTGGCAGTCAGCTGGGGTATCCAGATTATTTACTGGGTCAGAATACATGTGTAATTATCATTGATGCCGCTCACGTATCATGTTCATTTGTTAGCATAACATAGGGCTTCTCGCCTTGGCACCATTTGCATTTTGGATCAGGTGGTCCTGTGCTGTGGGGCTGTCCTGTGCACTGTCACATGGCCGACAGCATCCCTAGCCTCCACCTGCCAGATACCAGATACCCACTGTACCCTACTCCCCAGCTATGCCAACCAAAAATGTCTGCAGACATGGCCCGGGTCCCCTGGGGGCGCAGAATCACCGGGACAGTGGCGTTGGACTCTCTCTTTCCTGAACTCTTAGAACGTGTGTAAAGCTCATGTATCTAAGATTCCATGGATACCTGCAAACTTTAGAGACGGCTGCCTTGCCTGGGCTGATGTTTTGCAGGAGTCAGAAAATGGAGCCCTGGGCTCCTCGACAGCGGACCCAGGCTGGGAGGGGCTGGCATGGGGAGGAACTGGGAATGATTTTGCTTTTGGGGGGGAAGAGTTGTTTCCTCCAGCCTGCAAACTGAGCTGTATTTAAGTAGTGAAAGGCAGTCCAAGCCAAAAATGAGTAATTTGTGTGTTTGCCATTTTAGCTTCCATGTGTGTGTATTTCTGGTGAGGGATATGGTCGCAGGTATCACGGGTTTAGTGACCACAGTTTTAGCGATGGCGATTATATATGCTGCACTGTATTCTAGTCATACATATTTGTTTTGATCGGAATAAGCAAAAACCATTCAGCGTATCTTCTTGGCATGTGGAGATTTTCCAAATATATCATTGAAAGTTTCTGAGAATCTTATAATCTATCAAGTTGACAGAAGACCAGGCACAGTGGCTCAGGCCTGTAATCCTGGTGCTTTGGGTGACCAAGGTAGGAGGAACGCCTGAGGCTAGGATTTCAAGACCAGCCTGGACAATATAGCAAGACATCATCTCTACAAAAACCATTTTTTTAATTAACCGGGCTTGGTGGCATGTGCGTGTGGTCCCAGCTGCCTGGGAGGCTGAGGTGCGGATCACTTAAGCCCAGGAATTTAATGTGCAGTGAGCTCTGATTGTGCCAGTGAGACCTTGCCCTTTCTCAAAAAAAAGTAAATAAATAAACATGGGGCTGGGGGCGCTCAGTGGTGAAGTAAGTTTGGGAAACTGGGTTATACAACACGCAAAGGGTTTCCTTACTGCAGTGCTTCTGGTAGGCAGTGGCTAGGCCTCCAGAGGCGGGTGCAGCCTATACGGCATTCTTAGGCCTCTGAGCACAATCGTTTCTTTCGAGCTGCACCTTGCAGGGCTAATGTGGATCACACCTCTTGGGGGAATGCTCATGTAGGCAAAGCGGTTTCATGCCAAGGACGAAGAGGTTAGAGGAAGGTGTTCAGCAAACCATCCCTGAGTGAGCATGCAGAGGTTTTCATGTGTGTCCCGATCCAGCTGCCACTCACTTGCGATCCGCGTGGCTTCGCTTTCCCTCTGAACTCCCGTCTGCATTCACCGCTCAGCTCTGCTACGGTTTCCTGTGCCTCCTCAGCCTCCTCTCCACGTTCTCTGTCCCTTCAGTCCGTCCCACTGGGCCGGAACATACACCACCCTCAATCTCTGTTTCCTACGCGCCTTCCTGTGAGCTCTTTGAAATCAGGGACTGCGTGTTAAATAACTCAACTATTTCCCAAGCGTTGAGCACGGTGCCTGGCATGTAGTAATTAACAGTTTCTCTTTGGCTGAAGTTGTTAATTCTTTAATTAAACACGCAGAGCGACGCAGCTCGGCAGAGCCAGGCAAAGGACGGAACTCAGAAGCCCAAGCAGAACTGTGTAGAACCAGAGCAGTGTCCACGAAGGGCTTGTTTCCCACCCTTGTCATGTGTGTCCTGTGTGAACTTAAGTCATCTCCCAGGTCATAGCTGGAAAATTCTTATCTGTTGTAACATCGCCTGTGTATTGTAACGACCTCCCAGGAAATGATAGTGGCATGAAAGGCCAGGGCTTTGCCCCTGAAGTCGTAGCTCACAGGGAGCCCTCTCTATACCCAAGTGTTGACTTGTTTTTTTGTTTTTCGTGGTTTTTTTTTTTTTTTGAGACCAAGTCTTGCTCTGTCGCTCAGGATGGAGTGCAATGGCTTGATCTCGGCTCACTGCAACCTTCGCCTCCTAGGTTCAAGCAATTCTTTTGCCTCAGCCTTTTGAGTAGCTGAGATTACAGGTGTGTGCTACCATGCCCAGCTAATTTTGTATTTTTAATAGACATGGGGTTTCTCCATGTTGGTCAGGCTGGTCTTGAACTCTCGACCTCAGGTGATCCACCCCTCCTCGGCCTCCCAAAGTGCTGGGATTACAGGCCTGAGCCACTACACCCAGCCTTCTTTTTTTTTTTTTTTTTAAGAGATGGGGTCTCGCTGTGTTGCCCAGGCTAAAGTACCAGTGGCATGATCTTGACTCACTGCAGCCTCAAATTCCCGGGCAGAAGCGACCCTCCCAAGTCAACCTTCTGAGTAGCTTGGACCACAGATATGGGCCACCATGCCTAGCTAATTAAAAAAAATTTTTTTTTGTAGAGATGAGGTCTTGCTGTATTGTCCAGGCTGGTTGCAAACTCCTGGGCTCATAAATTCCTCCTGCTTTGGCCTGTCAAAATTCTGGGATTACAGGCATGAGCCTTTCTGCCTGCCCTTGGCTTCTTAAAGTGATTGGCAGTGAGAGGTCCTTAGCCGAAGGGTCCTGACATTGCATAATGGGGGGACAGATACTGCCCAAGTGAAAGACAGAGGAGTCAAGAAGGAAGCCAAGGAGTGAGCATTTAGAGACAAGGACGCCACTGTCGGTGTGGAGGAGGGGAGGCGGAGCTCAGAGGGGAGGCAGAGCATGGTGGGAAGGGCTGCAACTTGAAACAAGACCCTTCTCAAAGCCTGGGCTTTGCAACTGTGAGGAAGTTGCAGCCAGGTGCGGTGGCTCATGCCTGTAGTGCTTACCACTTAGACGGCTGAAGCAGGAGGATCACCTGAGCCCAGGAGTTCGAGGCTGCAGTGAGCTAATATGGTGCCATTGCACTCCAGCCTGGGTGACAGACAAGACCCTGTCTCAAAAAAAAAAAAAAAGAGAAAAAAGAAAAGAAGGCCGTACGCAGCAGCTCACGCCTGTAGTCCCAGTACTTTGGGAGGCCAAGGTGGGCAGATCACAAGATCAGGAGTTTGAGACCAGCCTGACCAACATGGTGAAACCCCGTCTCTACTAAAAATGCAGAATTAGCCAAGCATGCACCTGTAATCCCAGCTACTCTGGAGGCTGAGGCAAAGCATCGCTTGAACTTGGGAGGCAGAGGTTGCAGTGAGCCGAGATCACGCCACTGCACTCCAGCCTGGGCAACAGAGCAAGACTCCATCTCAAAAAAAAAAAAAATCACTTAATTCTTCTAAGCAAGAGTTTTCCTCATCAGTGCAGAGGTGATGCGGAGGAGACCTCTCAGGGTTGCTGGGAGATTAGCCAGAGTGGTTTCTGCAGATGTTGTGCCTGAGAAGAAGCTCGCTCACACTCAGGCACGCACGCATTCAGTCCACACAGAGCAGGGGCAGTGACCACAGATGGAGTCGTGGGGGACTGGGAGGGGCCGAGAGACGGTCCGGCTTGCCTGCAAGAAGTCACTGGCTGTCTGGGAAGGTCCCACCTTCTCCACGGTTCTGGTTCAAGGGAGATTCTCAAGATGACTGCGGCTGACCACTGCTGTTCAGTTGGATGCCCACGGCCATACCAAGTCGCTCAGAGGTCACAGGAGCACGGGCATCGTGGCCTGTTGAACGTGATGTCAGCACTTCAGCGGGCATTTGCTTTCCATTTTCTTGTGAACCCTGTGGGTGATGGCCAGATCTAGATGCTGTATGTCAATAAAAACCGCTTTTCCAACATCTTTGTGAAGAAAAAACCCAACTGGGCGCAGTGGCTCACACCTGTTATCCCAGCACTTTGGGGGGCCGAGGTGGGTGGATCATCTAAGGTAGGGAGTTCAAGACCAGTCTGACCAATATTGAGAAACCCTGTCTCTAGTAAAAATACAAAAAATT